GAGTGTCCCTCTCTCCCTCCAACAGGTTTGCACAACTCCTGGTAAGATGTTTGCATGTTCTTGCACATTTTTTTTTTTTGCCTTACAGGCAGAGGCAGGGAAGGACATGTTGAGGAGAAAGGGAAGTCAGTGGTGTCTTGCTAAAGCAGTCTGTTCCTCTTGTTGTTCCACTTCCTCTTCCTCCTGGTATCAGCAACTGTGGGGGATGCCAAGGGGAAAGCCAGGCCATTGGATAATCCGCTGCCCCACCATTTATATGAGGGTGAATGGGAAGGAAACCTAAGCAACTTCTTCCTTGAGCAAGTTGTTTCCTCCCTACCCTACCTTCCCACCCAGTCTCCCCTTCCACCAGTTTAGGCTCTCTCCTCCTCTCCCTGGGTGCCAGGACACTGGTGACAGCAGGTGCTAAGATGGCTGTATGCGTGCATGCACTCAGGTTTGTGCTGGCTCCAGCCAGTCCTGGGTCCCTCTGTGACAGCCTGAGCCCCAGCAGGGGGGCACAGAGCAAGTCAGGGTCCTGTGAGCTGATGGCAGGGGAAGGCAGGGCACAGGCATGAACGCTGCTGAGGGGCACAGAGGAGGGGGGGTGAGTAAGCACAGGTACATGTGCTCCCCAGCTGCCAGATCTGTTTTCCCCACATGGACTGCTCATGCCCAGCTCCCTTTAGACTTGCCTTGCGCTTGCATTCTCCCTCTCACCCCAGCCTCTATTGATTTCCCCTCATACACAGCTTCTAGCAACTTCCCAGCCAGCAAGACCACTTGCTTGCCTGTCAAGATGGCTAGCAGGTCCTCTCCCCATCCCCCTTGCCTCGGGCTAGGAATAGGTTGCTGCAAACTCAGCCATCACAGCTACATGCACATCACCTGCAGTTTAGCTTGTTAATCATGTAATCAAGCTAACACTGATGATCAGCTGCAGCCCTCAACAAGGCACAGGCTGTGGGATGTGAGGGATAATGGTGCTGTGGCTGTAACGCTTCAGGGCTCTTGACAGCTATGGTGAATTCTACATTTTCATGAGTGTTTTCTGGTGCCCCTGAAGGGTTTAGTAGAGGCCTGGTGTTCCCATTTAGTCTGTTTGGAGCATTTTCTGTTGCAGCACTGCTTTCAGTTCCCCTGAACTCCTGCTGCTGAACTCGGGCAGGCAGAAAGCAGGAGCACCGACGTTGGCAGAAACCACAGAGCTTGCAGAGCAAAAAGAGCAGAGTTCAAAAGCCAGTTAATCTGAGCCCTCTGTGAGTGGGCTTCACAGCAAAAAGGGCAGGGAAGAGCCTGCGATATGTGGGGGACACTGAGGGCAGCCTAGGGGCAGAGCACAGAGCAGGGAGTGCAGGGCAGTGAAGATGAGTAATTCAGTGAAACATGATAGTTAATACCTGAATGCAAGCTTTGTATTCAAAGAATTTATTGAGATTTGAGCTGACAGACCACTTCTAAGGTCAAGTCACAAAAAAAAAAAAAAAAAAAAAGACTTTTTGCATGCAGCATTATTTTGTATGGCAGGTGCTTTACATCATCTTTAGATGTCAATGGGAAGGACTGTGCTCTGGAAAGAGTGATTTATTACAGTGGATATACCCAAGCAGAAAACCAGGAGCTTGACATGCACCTGACTGTGACTCTCTGGAGTATGCTGGGCTTTCCTTCGTGGCAGAAATATATCCTTCACAAAACATAGCTGGGGTAAAGAGACTTTGCCATCATCATCTGACTTCCTTCTTGAATTTGACAGATCTACTTTTTCTAGGACAGAAAAATATAAATAGTGGAAAGAGATTTCTCCGCTCCTTGTCAAGCTATAACAATAGCTAATGGTTATAAGAGTATAGAGATTGAATTATGACAATTTTCAAGAGCCACAGCATTGACTTGAGAAACTTTCAGGGAGTTCTGCATGGTAGCTGTCCACAAACAGTACCTGGAATACCCATTTTTTCCCATAAGCATGACAGTGCGTGTATACATGAAAGAATGCTGCTAATTCACTCGTGAACACACCAAGCTTGTGTCATAAATAGTAAAACCACCTTCACATGTCAACCCAATGGAAATGCACCAGCACATTTTTCAGGAAGTGTGGTCCTGTCTGTGAGCATAAAGATAGCATGGACTCAAGAAGCATGAAGAAACATTTATTGTCATAGCATACTATAGCAATGGGAGTTAGAAGCTCCTGCCAGTGTTCACCAATATAAAGTTTTTATTGAAAATCAGGTGCTTTTCAAAGTGATGCTGTCACAGGATCGCTCCTGCAGCACAGTGGCACTTTTCCCCAGACCTTAACTCTGTGGAGTGGTGCAGCATTGCTAACCAGAGCTGCTGACTCTCTGCCTTGCCCTCTGATGAGGTTCACATATATGTAATCATGGAGCAGCTTGAAAACAGGTAGACTGTAACTCTCTCGGGAAAGGTATGTACAAAGAAATGATCAGTGGCAAAGTGTGTCATTTCTGCTGCTGCTCCTAGCATGCCACTAGGAAGCAAAAGCCCCACAAGAGCAAGCAGGCAGCAGGAAGTTTATGTGGAAAACTGTGCTAATACTGACTTTCTCTTGCTGAGTACTCCTCATGTTTGTATGCATTGCATATTACAGATATACAGAGCAACGCTCTTCTGACTCAGGAAGGAGACTGTCAAACTTGCTTAAACAATATTAACGCATCTGTCCAAAAATGTTCTCCCATGTACTTTTTTCCCCCATATACACATGGTTTTAAGGATTACCTGCCCCAGCCAATAATTTTTGTCTTGTTCTTCTCTACCCTCATTCACCACATAATTCTATTATTATATTTCACCTGTTTTGGGATCATTTAATAGATTAAAATTAGTGAAATGAAGCAGGTTAAAAACAGCATGGAAAGAGAAATAAAATTATTTTTATTTTATATCATTTCACTTCACCTCCAACCATAGTACTGACAGAACTGTGGAGGTAACAAGATCCTGATTATGATGTTCCTTGTAAGCATTGAATGGAAAGGCAGAGGTGTTCAGGTGGTAGTGCCCAACCACTCAAACTACTTCAGAGCACAGGACAATACCAATACATGAAAAATACCTTAAAAAGATGGACTAGCACTTATGGCAGAGAAACGCAGTGAAGCTCTTACCCACCTTCTTTACTTTCCTCTATTTTTGTCAAATTTATTATCTAAGCAGCCACTTTTCACAAAGGTAAACAAAAAGTTGAATAAGTGCTCTGATAAAAAAATGTTTAGAGCTACAGTCATAAAAGATGCACATGGGAACAGTAACACACCATTGCTACTCTGGGATTTAGGTGCTACACAGAGAATGGAATGGCATGTTTATACATGAAAGGTAGTGCCATTGCTGACATTCTTGTATTGCTTGAATATAATCTTGTGATTTTGTTTCTAGTACTGGTGTTGGTTTTTGTGAAAAAGGCAAAATATGTATAAGCTGCTTTCAGGCTTGTGGGTCCTGTTCCTTAAAACATTCATTCCTTAAAATTTTTTATTCACCTAAAAATACCTAGTTTCCCCAAATTAATCACAGACATCCTTCACAGAAAAAAGTGGAAAAAACAGAGAGTATCCAGGAAGCTTTTCCACCAGCAAGTGTAAAATGAAGCATATGATAGACCTTTCAGATGGGCAACTTTCACAGAAATTTCTCAGCATGAACAGTTATTTTAATTGTGTTTGTTTCCATTTATATTCTCAGGAGCGTTCTACCAGATACGAATACATTTATTTCTGGAGTATTGGACAAAAGAGAAGATGACACATACTGCTTAGCATTCAGAGTTGCAAAGATGAGCTCATCCTTTGATCATTGAAAGATTTTTCTAGTGCTGATATTATGCTCATGCTTTTGCAGCAATGTTTGCCCTCGCAAAATTACTATATTGCTACAGTTAGCACATTAATGGTCATGAGGACATTCATGAGAATAGCAAGCTGCAACATCTAATATTCCTTAATAATAAATGCCTCATCACTAGTGTTGATTGTTTATTTTCACAAATAAACATGATTTTATAAATAAAATCCAGTGTTTAGCAGAATGGATAGCATAAAGAACTGCATTTCTCCCACTAAGAAAAACCCCATTGTGTTATGCAACAAAAAAAATAACTAGCTATCATTGATTAGTGGCTAATAAAAAAGCACATGGCAGTGTTTTTAACTCGAATAAGTTCCATCCAGCACTCTACTAAGCTTCTGAACTAGCTAAGATAGATCTTTTTGGTAAAATTAAGCTGGAAATATCAAGCATTTCCAAAGCATTATTTTGCCACCTCAAAATATTTCAAAAAGTACTTAAAATTTTGTGCAGAAGGGGACATGATAAACAATGAGGAAGAGTCAAGCAACCTTTTGTGAAGCTCAAACAATTTTTATTCTGCAATCCCATCCCACTGAAGAGCTCAGCACCTTCGCTGAGGTCTGTTTAATAGAGAGTTCTGCCTTTGTGGATTGGGTTTAACTTAGCACAAACACAGGTTTAGATTTTCAAGTGAAGCTTATTTTATCAGTATTGGTTTTACAATCCTTTATTATCCTTCAAAGTCTTTGATTTGTGTAATGAACCCACAGGCAGAAAGGCAGAAGAAATTATCATAGTTTAAAAAAAAAAAAAACACACACACACACAAAAAAAAAAGCCAACCTCCACATAGCTAAATCTTTAAAAGGCTTACCAGCAGAATCTCTTAAGATCCTTCTGGCAAAGGAGGGAGCAAGCAAACACGTTAGCAGACACCTGAGGAGAGGGAGTGTACACTGATTCTCAATGGTAACAGGGAACTACAAGGTCTTTTCACACTTGTCTTTATACCTGTAATTATCACACAAATTTCGTTAGCCATTACTTTGTAATGACCTTGTATACACCAATATGGCTTTACAGGACTCTGCAATATGCGGTAAATGCATCACATGCTGAATACTGCTGATAGCAGCAGCCAAACAGTCTGAGCACATTTTAGTTCCCTTTCCCCCACCACTTCTTGCTTAATATCCTGAGGAGAGCAGTTTTCTCCACTGATCATAATGAAACCCACAAGCAACATTGTTATGCAAACCCTTGCTGAGAAGCAGAACTCCTCTTAGCAAACAGACCAGGCTGCTGAAGTGAGATACCCATGGATTGTATCATTGCAGGAACCAGTTTTTCTGCCTGTATCAAAGTATTGGAGAGCTTTGGGGAATCAAGGTAAATTGTTGTACATGTTTGTCTTAGAAATAAATGAGCAAAGTTCCAGGAGAAATAGAGTTGATATGAGGTATTACATATAACCTTATATAACTGGAAATTTTAATTGTAGATTTTACTTAAAATTACTTAGGGAGCTGAAAAGACGCCAGGTTAACAAAATGGATTTCTCTCTTTCACTGGTTCCCTGAAATTTTACTAAGAGCAGTCCTACTTAAAGTGCTGTTTGCATTTTGAATAATAACAGAAATGGTATCACCAAAATGCAATTATTTTCTAGTAATTTCTTTTTCATTATTTGTGGTTGGTTGGTTGTGTGGGGGGTATTTTTTAATATACCATGCCCTGGGTTGAGACATCTGAATATAATTTGTTTGTAGTGGGTCATGAATAATATTCTTATTTCCATCGGTAAGTCAGAATGGTAGTCAATGTCTTAAAACTGCACAAAATTTCCTTTACAATTGCAAGGGATCTTGAAATTATAGAAATAAGTGTAGGAACTTTTCAGTGGCAGGAACTTACATTTTTCTTATTGGAGATGTTATATTACCTTTAGTTGAATAACCAGAGTCAAATCAAAGATGTCATAAACCGGCAGGGGGATTGGACTAGATGATCTTTTGAGGTCCCTTCCAATCTCTAGCATACTGTGATACTGTGTGATAAGGCAGTCACTGTATACACTATATTCACTATATACACTATGTTCACTATATACACTGCTTCATTTCTGGGCTGTTACTGTAGAAAATTTGCATTATTCTGAAAGCTGTTGATCAGCATCTGAGAAAAATAATTTTTAGAACCCAAATTATTAAGTACCATGACAGTCTATGACTATATAAAGCCATGTTAAAAGCCATGCTATTATTGGATAGACGTTCTTGGTGGAGAAGTTGACAGGTTTCGGCTGTTGAAGACTGAGTTGCCAATAGTTGCCAGTTTTTTTTTATTTTGACACAGACAGGCACCAAAAAAAGCCAGAAAATAAGGGTTGAACTTTGTGCTGAATTTAGTGGGACACAGAATGAATAGATGACCATGAATGAATAGGTGCTTTGGCTTCGTGCATAAGCTGTGACAATAGTTTGAGTCCAAACTGGGGTGCCATCTGGCTGCTCTGGTCAAGCCCTACACTTTCACTAGTTATGGTCTCAGTCTGACCTTGAGTGTATGAACTATATTTTCCTCTCATGTTCCTGAAATATGATGTAGTTGACCTTATAACTAGGTAAAAAAATGAGAAAAAATGACGAGAGGGACAATGGAAGTGTAGAGTAATGCACTATGGAAAAGATACAGAATGCAGTGTGATCAGGCTGGAACACTGTCTTGTCTAATTTTGACAGCTACATGTACTCACGAGTCTGCTGGTTTTGCCTTGCTGGTGTTAAAGAAGGATGTTTGAAATTATGCTCTCAGGATAACATAGACGGTGTGAGCCTCTCATCAGGGAATCACTTAGACAGCATTGCACAATGCCTTGTACAGTCAACAGTTAGATATATTTCACTTGCTTAATTGAGGATCGTATGCACACCCTTTTATTGATGCAGTGTTGCTGTTTGAAGAAAGAGCAAGCACAAGAAGGGGAAGTTGAAGTGCTTGGCTTCACAAAGACTGAAAAGTAAATAATGAGACCATATTTATGCCAAAACAAATCAACTTTATTTTTTTTTAATCAAGTTGCTGGTTGAGACTGGAATATTCACAGGGAATTCAAGAATAATACAGTTGAAACATCTGTATTTTTGTGTTCTTATTACACGGTATAGGCATATGAAGTTACATTGTAAAGAATGGATAATTGCTGTTGTTTACGCTGAGGTGTAATTAAGATCCACTTGTGGAAAAAGTCTGTACAACTGTACCTTGATATCTGTGTGAGTCTTTGTTGAAGGCAGGGGGAGGCTGGGAAAGTACTGCATATACAAATCTCCTTGATGAATCCATGGAATGGAAACTAAACCCGAGTATTGTTCCAGATTTGAGCAAACACATTTGACTAATGCAACCATCTCATATAAAAGCAAATGTTACTGTGCACCTAATGTGCTGCTTTCAGTTCAGATCAGAAGCTGAAAATCCAAAATATTTTGCACTGAATTTTCCAATATAGTGCAAAGAGAAAGTTCAGAAAATAACCCAAGTACCTCCTGCACGAGACTGCTCTGTCCCACAGGCACTCTGCACTTTAGAGGGGAAGGGTACGGTGAACTTAATCTCCCTTCAGAATCTTTTCAAGTTCCCATTTCATGATTTACAGTATATTGTGTGTGCTAATGGAATAGGTAACTGCTGTCGCTTCTGGGAAGGGAAACAGAAACTGCGGAGATTACTCTGTGAGCGTAGCCACAAATAAAAGATTTTCTCATTATCCCAGTTCCTTTTCTATCTCCCTGGCCAGTCAGGTTTTACATTATAACCCACAATATGGCTTCTAGTATAACTTGCTTTATGAAAGCAGGAACAGGTTACATACATTAGAGAAAAGTAGACAGACTTCAGTCTCTGGTTCTTCGTGTTACCTTTACCGTTTACTACTGGTAAAAGACAGAGGCTACACTGCTGATCATAAACCCTTCCACATGCCCAGGAGCTTTTTACTCTTGAAGTGCTTGTAAATCTGCATGACTAGGGCAAAGTTTATTCACAATACTGGTAAGAAATTTATTAAAAGAAATCCATTGATAGTCATAACATGGCAGTAGTGAATGATTCAATGCACTCTGAAGCATGTATGAATATAATTGATCTTGCTATTACAAAGATGTAGAAAACTTCTGTGAAACCAAATTCATAACAACAGGTTTCTTCAAAGCCACATTTCCAGCCTCCCAAAGTCTGCGTGATGAATGTCTCTTTTCCAGGATGATCACATTGCTATAATTTGACACAGAACATTTTCTTAAATTTCAAATGGAAGAGGTAGTGGAAGAATCAATGTATTGCTAGAACTTTCAAAAGAAATGAGCTTCTGAGTTGGCCAAGCAGCTGATCAGAATGCAATTAGAATTTCTGAAGACTTCAGACACTAAGTTAAAGTTATAGTATCTCTGATGGTTTAGATTTTGTTACAGCAGTTGAAAAAAAAGCATGGGTTAGAAAGTCAAAGTCAGAAGCATGCAGTACAAAGTCAAAACAGATCAGAGGCAAAATACTGTGTTATTCTCTCTGGCACTGCAATTAGCTTAACTTTCTGCCTAAGAGGGTGAAATCAATTCTTTGTAAGGCAGTGTGGGAGAAATCTTGAATGATTAGTGATACATATACACATTTCTACAGTGTAATTGTGTGTGTGTGAGTGCATATGCATCAAATAGCAGCAGATAGCTTACACCTGATAATCTCTATAGTAAATGTGTACTTCCTCTCTTCTCTGTATGTGCAAAAGAAATGACAATATGGTGCTCTGGGGGTAAGTTTCACATATGTCTTAGTTTGACTGTCTTTATTGTAAGTAACTTTATAGTATAATATGCAGTGTTTGGAAAGAATGAATTTCTTGGTGATACTTAAAGACTGGAAAGATAACTTTAAGTTGCAGAAGTTAGAGGTAAAACTATTCCAACGTAACTGGCAATTCATGTAATGTGATAAAATCAAACAGACGGCAAAAGGAGCAACACCCCAATTTAGAAGGTCTTGTTAGTGAAGTTAAAAAACCCAACTGAATACCTACTGAACTGTACCGAATAAAGGCAGTGTATCATTCTTCAACATCTTTCTGAAATATTTTTCAGACTGCTGTTTATTGTGCTTTGTAGTGATACTCCTTTAATTTCAAACAAACAGTTCAGAGCCCTTCTGGTTGCAACATTCCAGCTTTGTATCATTCGTCTTACATTTTAACTTTCACACACCACCATTATCTGCTGTAGCTGCACCCCTGTTTCCGCTATTGGCTGGGAAAGGAGTCCTTGCTACAGAGGACTTCTGGAACCCAAAGTTGTTCCCAGTTCAGGAGTCCAGCTGCCTCCCTATTGCCCCTATCCTTCACTGCACTGTGTTTTAATTGTGCTGAATTCAAACATACTGAGCTTTTGCTCTCAGTTCACACTAAAGACTGGTCCTGAAAGTTGTTGAACAGGGCTGCCAAATTAAAACAGTTTCAAATGAAGCTATGTGTTTTCCACTTGGAATTGTTCAACTTTCTTTTTTTTTTCTTTTTTTCCCTGCAAGAACTTACGTATCTTTGAGAGTTTCTACGTGTTTTGACGGTTGTATCTTCCTTCTTTACTCCACATATTTTAATTCTCCATCTACACATGCACTTTTTTTTCCAGATACAAAATGGAGAAGACAAACAAGAACACAGAGAGGAAAGGGAGAGCAGCAGGGAAGAAAAATTACTGAGAAGGGAAAGAAAAACTGACACACACACCCCAAAACAGAAGAATTTCTGTTTTCAAAAGGGAGCTTGTAGCTCTCTAAGGATTTTACAGGAATAACACTAGTCTGGTAATCAAAGTTCTAGTACAGTCTATGCTTCTCATAGATCACTCATATTTTTAAGGATATATTAATTCTAAAGTAGTATGTATTTTATTGGTTTTATTATGTGTTCAGTTCCTAATTGTAGAAATAAAGAGAATTTTTGGTATGCCCAAAAGGAGCTGCATGACCCTGCTCTAAGGGCAGTACCTGCACTGAAAATTTTAGAAGTTTGTATAACCACAGCAAGGATATAATAAAATACAAAGCTTCTCTAACCCTACAGGAAGATGTGATACAATATCTCCACAGCCAATCAGCAGTACTACAAGCCTCAGATCAGGAAACTCTTTAATGTACAGTATGTGTGAACATTGCAACGACAACTTTCTCAGTGCTCCTCTTTCTTTTTGTCTTCATGCTTACAGGATGTCAGAGTAGATGTGAAGTCACTCATGGCAAAATTTAACACGGGCAACAACCCCACAGAGGATGTTTCTGGTAACAGCCATCCCTTCAAAGTCTCTGGACAACCTGTCCATACAGGATTACAAACAAGGAAAGCAGCCTTTGAGAAATTTGCAAGCCAAGGAAATGCAACTTCTTCTTCAGGACCCAGTACTTTTCACAAACCTGTTCATCCTAAGCCTCCTCTGGCAGTCAAGCCTTCAAGTGATGATAGAACAGAGAAGGATCCAAAGCCCCCATATTTGAAACCAGTGGCACAAAGGTTTGGAGTTCAGCTTCAGGCAACAAACAGAGAAAATAATGAAAAAGCTGGATGCACTAAAGTCCCCACCAAAACCAGTGACTTGGCAAAGGAAGAGCCAGTGCCTCTGTATCCAAAACTTGCACAGAACAGGTTCCTTAACTCTGCTCCTTATGAGAAAGAAAAAAGTGCTGTGGGAACAAAACCAAATCCAAATTTTGCGGCACAGGAGAGTGAGGCAAAACCAGCATTTTCAAAAGTAACTGGAGTTAAGGAAAAGTTCTTGTCTGCAACACAAGAAAACGAGCCCAAGTCTTCCTTCTCTAAACCACCTCTTGCACAGAAACCTTCTCTAAACTATGATGTCTCCCGCAATGAAGACACTTCTAATAAAAATGTTTTTCTGCAAAAAGGACTATCAGGCCCTAGACAAAATGTACATTCTTTTAAAGCAACGAAGGAAATTGATAAAAATAGTAACTGTTCTGCAGAAACAGCAGGAAGTCATTTTTCTAACATAGCTCTGAAGCCTGCTGATCACTGTTCTGGTTCATCCGAAGGAACCCCCAAAAATATGGAGGAGAAAACTGAGGAAAAGGGAATGAGTGCTGCCCAGAACATCTTTCTCAACAAAATCACCCAGGAAGGGTCAGGTTCCTCTTCTAAGTTCCATCAGACAAACACAGTATTTGCTGAAGGAAGGCTATCAGATGCATCACAAGAGAAAGAGGATGGGGACGGGAGCTCAGGAAAACCCAAGCAGAAACCCTTGCCCCCACTGTTCAAGCTGGGCCAGCCCCCGCAGAAGCCCAGCAGACCCCCCAGCGTGCACCTAGAAAGGTTTCGGAAGAGCAGCCTAAAAGACAGTGAGTCCTCTCTGTTCTTGCTTTCCTGGGTATTGCCGTATTTATGCATTTACTACCCAGTTCATTTCAGGTGAAATCCCTTCTTCTGTTCAGAAATAATGAGACTTATGCATCAGACAACACTTTAAAGCTTTAACCTATGTTTGTGTCTGTTCGATTCAGGACAAAAATTAAAATTATATTCTCCCTCCCTCTATGATAAAGTGTAGGATGAATTCTTTCTGTATTGGGTTTATTTGCTTTCAAAACTACCTAGAGGTAGCTATAACTTGCGTCAGGTACTGTAAGTATTTTTCTTAATAGACATTTAAGTCTTGCCTTCCTATAAACGAGATGTTCATGTCATGTGCCCCATTATCAATGGTAACTTCCTGGGCACAGTTTGAGGGTCACCAAAACGATATACTAGTACCTGCACACTTTTTTTAATTTCATTTTTGCCTTTCACAATGACTAATCACAGTGTGACCCTATAAGTTACTGTATTTTAAGGTTTATTTAGAAGGTTGAACACTAAGCAAAATTACAGAATCAATTGTTCACATGCTTCATTGATTTTATACCCAGATCTGAATCCAGACTCCAAAAGCATCTCCTAGACTTCTTTTATGTTAGATTTGAATGATTGCAGCAGTACCACAGTTGGTAGCGCCTGAGTGTCTGCCTCACTCCTTTAGTAAAGAACCAAACCTCTGAACTTCCCGATGGTCATAATACAGGCATTAGGTTTCTGTAAAATCTGTCACTAGATTTCTGTAAAATTTGAGATTGTCTTGAAATAACTGGAAAGACACAAATCCTTGTGGAAAAAAAAGAAGTTGCTGCAACTCCACTCCCCAAAAGAATCCTGTTTCAGTGGGTTGCTTTCACTGCATAAGACAAATTGCAACAATGATATAAGCTGTTTCTGAGGTATTTCAAACATGCCCTTGAAACTCTCATGTAAAAATGCAGTTTCCTAGAGTTAGGCCCACATAACCACTGTCAGCTCCTTGAAGGAGAGGTCAGTTTTGTGAGGTTCTGAATGTCCTTAATTTCTCATTAAATCACCTGTATTTCAAAATTTGGGTTAAGGTTTTTCAAAAAGGCTTTTAGGCACTCTTCAACAATTCTGTAAAGTTAAAAACAGCAACTCGTGCTGGAATATGTGATGCCAATTGGTACATTTCTGTTACAAGTTTTACAGGAGCTGAAGGAGGCTTCCTCTTTTTCCTTATAGCAGCAGGTGCAAGAAACAGTGATTGCATAAGAAATTCTGATCCCATTTTAAAATCAAAGCTTTAAGTTGCTTTTAAGTTGGGTTGTTTGGGTTTTTACTTCTCCCTTAATGCAATGCTGTCTGCACTGAGCTCAAGAAGAAAAGACATATTCAATCCTCACATATATATTTTAGCTCAAGTAATTATAACCATTCATGTCCTGCAACTAATTTTGTCAGGTGATACACACAGCTAAGTAATTTCTAATAATGAGGAGCATTTCATGCACATCAGTCTGCTGTAACCAGCTGGCTTTGATTTAATTAAACAGATCAGACTTTTAAATTTTCAGTGTAGTCAGTGGAAAAGGGAGATGCCTAATGTTGCGATTCAGAGCATTACAGTTAGATGCCTAATGTAGCTGGTGATAGATGGTGTGAATCATTCCACACTGTGCATGTGCTCTATATTAGGTACTTTAATGTAATCTAAGTGATAAGAAGTTTGGCCTTGTGCCTCCCATAGTTAGAATACAGTATAGTTTGTGCTTCAGTATTTTTGAGTGCACATAAGACTCATCTTCCTGAGAGAGAAGATATTCAAAGGGATTATGACTGGATGAAAAACCTCGGATCTGCCTTTCTGTAAAGACAAAAAGCCACACTAAAACCACAGAGTGTGCATGCAGCTATATATTTTATTATTATTAATTTCATTCAAAAATTAGGAGTATATCAGTAACATAAAATGTATGTTCTTGCCAGCTGCTACATCCTGTTTTTTCCTGTCTATTCCTACAGTTACAAAAGTGTTCTCACAAATCCATGACCAGAGCCAGATCCTCAAATGTTGTAAATTTCTTTAAAATCTCTTTAAGAGAAATACGCCAATATATAACAGTCTGCGCAGCTGCTCCTTCTCAATAGAGCACTGTTGACCATGGCTGGCTTTACTTGAGTGCCCAGAGCAGTTTCAAAATGGAAAGACAGCATTTTCAGCAAATTATACCAGAAAATACTTTGATTCAATAAAAACAGATAGCTTTGCTAGCTAGAACTTTGAGAAGTCCTGATAAAGCTGGAGACACCCAAAATTGCAACTTTTTTTTTTAAAGTACATTTTTTAGTTTAAGTAATGGAGAAATAATGTTACTTTTTGTTTATTTTTTTCTAGTTCCGATGCAGGTAATGACGCAAAACATTTTTTCCTCATCCTTTTTTTATAACCAAGGGCTAGTAATATTTAATCATTAAAAATGAATACTGCGAGCAGGGCTGTAAGGATATAACCAGAACTTTTGCTACAGCGAGGATCTCCAGTTGTCACTAACCAGCACTAGCGCAATCACCAGCCTGGTTGAGTCACATGGGGAATGTGAGCAAAGGGTGGAGGTGCCTAGTATGGTGGCACAGGATTTTTTCTGAACGTGTTGCAAAATACACACCCAGCTAAGTAGAACTGAAGGGTCAGACATGGTCTTTTCTATCTCACAGTGTTTGAGCCAGGGCAAAACCGAAAAATTTAGAAACCACATCCATAGGAAGCTGTATGGCTCTGCACACCAGCTTTCCTCTGTAGGCTTGGCATGTAGACCTGACGTTCTGTTTGGTTTTAATTAATGTGGCCAGAACTCTCCATAGAACCGTTCTGGTGGAATGACTAGGTGTTCTAGAATGAATCCTGAACAGATTAATTTTTAGCTCAACAGTTATTCATCGTTGATGGGTTTCTTGGAATACTAAACTCAAATGACAAAACCTACCTGCTTTGGAAGGGCAGTTAAACGGAATTTTTTTCTTTCTTTTAAACTGCCATTTCAAGCACCAAAGTCATGACAGGAAGGTGCCACCCCCATAGCACAAATTCCTGCTCTTTACTTTAAGGCAACTTTACAGTTGCCTAATTTGCTGCCATGATTCAGGTGCTGAGTAAAAAGAACAAGAATATGGAAAGGGGTTTCCCACCCAACGAAGCTTCCTGAGATCTAGCACTGGGGCGGGGGGGTTGATATGTACTAGGGCAAAAGTTAGGTTTTCTGTTGTCCTTTGAGAAAAGCTCTTCATATAGCAGTCATGACACTTGTGTTAGGGCATGTACTTGTGGTGCAGAAAACCTTATATTGTCTGATATAAAGCAAGAGTTTGACCTCTGTTTACTCAGAAGTATAAATTCAGCCTTTTTTCTTTGGTTGTTATCCTTTCCCATGAAAGCTGCTTTACCTTTTTTGTAATCAGGTATTCACTAGGCATGAAATAACTTTAAACATTAGAGGTTGAAGGACTTACCTTTGATGCGACTCTCTCAGTCATGAATGGGAGAAGGGTTTTCATTCCTGCATGAATACTAAGGGATGCTGGTTTGGTATTGGCCTTGCTTTGGATTAGAATTTTCACCTGGTTATAAAAATTTTTTCTTGATAAATTTTCTGTAGAAACAAGTGTCTTGCTGAGGAAAGTGTGACTATTGATGCGTTACTATTTTCCAGTGAAAGCAGGTTTTAAGAAATTCCTGTCTGGACCTGTGCATACAGAGCACTCTGGTAAATTCCTGTGTTATGTCCCATTACAACAATTTTCCCTGACAGTAGATTATATTTACGTCAGCTCAGAATCAGTGAGATGCATGTGCGTTCTAGATTCAGAAAGTAGTACTAATGATACTGTTTTATAATGAACATGTGCAAATGGATGCTTTGTCAGAAACAAGACAAAGTCATTTGCTGACAGCTTTCTGTGTGAGGCCACAACCATACCATTCCTTTTAGAGAGCTGCACCTGGGCTGACCTCAGTGTGATCCTGTGTGTACAGATGGCCACCCACATCAAGTCAGTTGAAGGCTTTAAACACCTCTGAACGTCTTGTTAATGATCAACACTGGAGTTTCTGCTACAGAGAGTATTTTGAGCTGTACTGGGAGAAATGAAAGGAAACTACTGGATCTAGAAGAGAAGAATACATCTAAGAAAATTCTCACAATTTATAATTTGATTAATGGTTCTGTTTGCAGTCCTTGTTGAGGTTCTGTCCTGCAGCAGACTATATACCCACACAGTGACATGGCTATCTGAGTTGGGTAAGACACCAGAGAGAAAGGAGGAATTAAAATTTGAGGTGCTTTGTCAAATTTATCACAACACTCTGTTGGCAAAGTAATTCACAATCAAGCACTACTTCTGAAGACAGTAAATGTCTTAACTGTCTTTACAAAGTCTCTTAGAACCAATTGTTCCTCTTACTTGATGGCAAGTTGAAAAAGCAACTTCCAAAGTTATAAAGAGCAGGGAACTTTTTTTTTTTTTTTTTTTTTTTTTTTTAGCACAGGATGTCACGGCTCTTTACTGCAGAATCTGGACTTAAAAGGTCAATGTAGGTTTTCTTTTTTTACCTCAGCGCTAGATTGGATAAAGTTATGCAACAGCTCAGTATTAAGGTAGAAGGGAATAAAAAGAATTGTTACATGAGCTAAATCATCTTGTTTCTAAGACAGATAAAAATAAAAGCAGGGGATGAAACAACGCAGTTGAGGGTGGGGGTAGCTGTGTGTAATGATGTGATATCTCTGTTTGCACAGGTGAACTACAGTATGCCACAAACCCTTGTAACAGCTCAATCATAATTTCAGAATGGAATGATAATTATGTGCAACAAAATAGGGATGTTGGGGATGGACTGTTAATTAGGGACTGTAGTGACAGGACAAGGAGTAACAGGTTCAAACTTAAACAGGGGAAGTTTCGATTGGATGTAAGGAAGAAATTATTTACTGTGAGGGTGGTGAGGCACTGGAATGGGTTGCCCAGG